TGAAAAAAGAAATAATCAAAATTGTATTTTAGGGTTATTATTATTAAATAACATTTTTAATATATTATTGATACCCCACTGTTTATTTAAAGTAAATTGTACAAGTTATTTGCTTTTAAGTAGTTAAATTATTTTTTGATGTGTAATGTTTAGATTTAACGCTATACATATTATTATTTTTTTATTATTGGTTGTTTTTATTGAATAAGTTGGTTCAAAGCGTATAATTTATCATAACTATAATTACAATTACTTTGAACTAAATGAGTCGAGTTACATAATGGAAATTACTGATATATCTGATTTGTACTCAATTATTATTACTTTAAATCTAGTTTTTTCCACAACATAAATTAATAGATTAAGTAAAATAATCTGTTTGTAAGTTATCGTATTTTACTGTTTTGTTACGTCTGTTTCCACAATAAACAACAAACAAAAAAATCGTAAATAAAACTTAAAGCACTAATGGTCTAAGGGCAGAATTTCACCCTCCCAAGGTGGAGATCCGGGTTCGAGTCCCGGTTAGTGCATTTTTGTTTAAATTTTTTTATCATCTAAAGGGGCAGAAAAAAACCGATGTTGGAAAAAAAGCGATGTTGCCAAAATAATAGTAATTTAATAACACTTTTATAGTTAGTTGTATAGTTTATTTTTCCACTTGTCCTCAATTTGATTCAAAAAAACAAGGTTAACATAACTTAATTTCTTTTTTCGAAATGCCAAAAATCATTTTTGAGATTATGCATTTTTTTCTTGTAAAGATAAGGTTGAATTTGCCGAAAGACAAAAGGGAAGCATAAAATAACGACTTCTAAACTGTTCTTTGAAGCAAGAAAAATATAAAAATTGGCTAAAAAAACAATAAAAAGTTTTTAAAAGTAGATTAATGTTTTCAATATTATTTTTCCTTTTTAGCATAAATACAAAAACTTTTAATCAAAACCCCGTCAGTGTACCTTTTTTTCACACCCCTTAACTTTAACTTTTAATTTTTTTACATGCTATTTATCGTTCATAAAACACAAACTCCGCTATCTAATCAATTACATATCAAACAACTTAATAAACGTATCAATATTCACGCTCTTTCAATGTAACAACTTTTCATTTCTTTGATCAAAGACCGACTGCACCTTTATTTCACACCCCCTCTTGATCGATTCCTCATTCGATCAGAAATGCAGTCCACGGCCAAACTTGAAAAACGTTCTTTCAAAAGCTACACCACACAAAGTTGAGTGCATCCATTCCCAGCCCTTTTTTGAGTCCCTGTCAAACAAATGAAATACAGAGCTCCTTTTTATAATCAATTAATTTTTTGAAACTTTTTTCAAAAATCGAAGCAAAATCAAAAAACTGGAGAAAAAAAACAAAATAAAACGATTTTTTAATTAGAAACATCGAACATCGGTAATATTCCGTTTCATGTGTCCATTTGTTTTTTCCCTGTTTTTTAAATTTTTTGAACAAAACCTCAACTTTTTGTGGCAAATATCATTTATGGTCAAAGTTTAATGGTTGTTTATAAAGAACTTGGTCAAACATCGGTTTTTGGTGCCGTTCATGGGAAAAAAATAAAAAGACGGGGAAATAGAGTGGGTTATCTGAAATGGAGGCAACCAAATCTTGGTGGTTAATAAAACAATAAAAATCGTGTTTTTTCATGTTAAGTTAGTAAAATACTATTTGTATGCCGTGAAAAAACTCAATTATTTTTTGTATTTTTTAATGGCATTTTATTATTTTTGTTCAGAATTTAGTGTTGATTGATTTGAGTTTGGTAATAAAAAGGTCAACATCGGTTTTAAGAAATGTTGTTGAATTTTTTAAATTTCAACTCGGCAAAACGCAAATAATGTCCAATTTTAAGCAAAACTTTATATAAAATGGTAAAACATCGGTTTTTTCCGCCGTAATAAAGACTTGCCCAAAAGTGCATTTTATTAAAAAATTCTAGTTAAGTGTTGAAAAAATGACTTAATTGATACTTAATACGTAATTCAATGCATAAACAGTCAATGCAAACACAACTGAAGAGCGCTTGGGCAAGTCTTTGAAATACCATTATTATAAAAATAAAAGATTATTTATTATAAGAGTATCTTGTGTATTAATATAGATTTTAAGTGGTTTTATTTACAAATATATCACGCTATATTTTGGGTTTTTAGACCAATTGTTGATAATCAAAAAACAAATAACTATTGTAGTTAATAAAAATACTATTAAATAATAAAAAATGTCTCGAAAAAAAATAAAAATTTGATAACTTAATATGTGCAAACTCTTATCAGTAAACCTTGCAGTCGCTAAGGCACTAACTTAACACGAAGCCAAAGAATTACAAAATGAAGTGTTCGTTATGTGTTATATAAATTAAATCATTGATAAACTATCATGATTTAATATTTTAATAATTTAGTTTGTATAATTTAAACAATAGCTATTAATAATATAACATGGTTTATAAAAACAAACAAAAATATATTAATGTGATTCTATTATGATATAATAATAATTCATTTCAAAAACTATTCATAATACTATATAGAATAAATATTTAATAATTTATAATAAAAATATTATTAAATTATTCCAAATAACTGTTTTTAACCATTTTGGGCAAAATTATTTAAAGAAATAATTAGTTATTTAAATATTAAAATAAATCATTCAAAAATAATATTTAAAAATAAAGTTATTTATTATTATAATTTTTAATATTTTATTTTTATAAAAAAACATAAACTTTGTAAAAAAACTAAACAATAATGCGATAAAATTTCATCGCAAAATAAAAAAAACAAATTCATCGAAGCAAAATAATCAGAATAACAACAAAATTATTAAACAAT